ACTGAAGCTGTGAACAATCTCAATCTCTTCACCATCCATCCTGATGCTACCAATTGGTCCAGTGGTGAGAATCTTTGTCTTCTTGACATTGGGCCTCAGTCCTGGTAAATTTTCTTTTTGAGTAAATCTGTTCAAAGTCCATTTTTTCATATTTTGAGAACCTCTAAGTTATTACATATCAATAAACTACTTTAAAGAACAAGACTAGTAAGAAGAATCAGCTTTGGGAACTATGATTCAAAGGATTCAATATTAAGAGTTCTAAATACCAATTTGAATAATACGCATTCATAAATAAGAGAGAAATGTCCAAATATTTAACAAAAAAACAACACTAAAATGGTTATATATTTCCAGAAGACCAAATAATTAACTAGTTTTCATCACTGGCCTGAGGAGTTGCACTGCCAATGAAAAAGGTGGTTTGAATTCACCAGCTGCTTCATGGGTAATCTCCCTTGTGATTTCTAACCTCTAAAAATCCACTGGAGGGTCAAGTCTGAATAAATTACAATGAGTAGCATTTTTAAAAAAAATATTGCATTAGTGTGTCTGTATGTATGTGAGAGAAAGAGCGATAGCTTAACTGTAACATTTACTGTTGTTGGGTGTCCTTGAGTCCACACTGACACATGGTAAACCCATGTACAATAGATCAAAACCTTGCCTGCTCCTGCACCATCCTTTCAGAACCAGGTATAAGATAAGTGGTGAGAATTCACTTACTATTACACATGATTTATAACATTCAGACAGTTTTAAAAAGAATGTTCTCTGAACCAGTAAAAAAAAATCATCTTAACATAGTATTTTATAATTTTCTCAAAGTGTTTCCATGTATATATTCTTATCTAATCATCACAAAATGTTATGAATATATACCAATAAAGAAATGATGGTGCTGAGGTTGAATTTAAATTTCTCAAGTCTTCCAATTGATATGACTTCCCAAGTTTCAATAGGGATGGAATAATGCATAAAACAAAAGGTTAGTGGTTGGAGACTACCAGCTGCTCTGCAGAAGAAAGATAGGTAATCTCCTCCCATAAAGATTTACAGCCTCAGAAACCTAGTGGAGGGTTGGAACCAAATCAGAAACAACAAGTTTTCTGAATGAGAGAGTGTCACAATAGTGACTAGTGGCACAATAGTTAACATTCTCAGGGGTGTCTTCAGGGGGCAGTTCATAACAAACACATTGAAAAAGAAAGAAAGGAAAAAGCAAAATTAAAGGCCTAACTCAAAACCTCCATCAAATAGAAAAAAGAACAACAATCTAACACCACAGCCTCTGGGAGAAAAGAGATTATAAAGACAAG